CCCAACATAGACACAAAGATATTTTCTGCATTTGGGGGCAGTAACAACTGAGTTCTTAAAGCTTGTGACTACAACTTTGGTCATCCCTCACCTATCTGGAGCAAAGTGAAGAAAACCAAAGGTGCATGAAAACAATGATCTCCAAAGGACAAATACGTGAAGCTTAGCATCTAAGATTCTGCAAACAGAACCAGAAGGTACCTTGCTAATGACTGTTAGTTAACCTTGCTACTAATGACTGCTCCAAAAGGGAGCAAAGTTTGAGGAGATAAATGTGTATCAAAATTCAAAATCCTAAAAATGACTAAGCTCACTGATCTGGTAAGATTGTTGTTGTGTGCAGTCAAGCTAGAACTGACCCATAGCTGACACTCTAGTGGGTTTTTAGGGGCAGTTAATTGCACATGAGATTGCCTATCCTTCTCCCTGAAAGTAACTGATGGATTCAAATTGCGTGCCTTCAGGACAACAACACAGCTTCTTACCACCAAGTCACCAGATTTAGTCTACTTAGTGCTATTAGGTGTCATAAAGCCAAGTTTGTCCCATAGTAACCCTATGACCCAGACCTAAACCCTGTCCCATCCTGCGCCATCCTCACATTTCCTGACACACTAGGGCCCAGTGCAGCAGTCACTATGTCAATACACCTGGTTAAGAGTCTTCTCCTTTGCCAACTCTCTGCCTTTCCAACTATCATATTGGAAAGGAATAGCCCCTCCTGGTAACATGTCCGAAGTATGTGAGGCAAAGCTTTATCATCATTTCCTCTAACAATCCCTCTGGGTGTACTTTCTCCAAAACACATCTGTTCATTCTTTTGGCAGTCCATGAGATGTTCAGTACTCTTTTCCAACACCACAGTTCAAAGGCATCAATTACTCTTCTGTTATCTTTATTCATTGTCCTGCTCTCAGAAGCACAGCAGGTGAGTTGAAAAAACATGGCCTGAATCAATCACGCCTTAATCCTCAAACATCATTACTCTTCAATAGCATGCCAGTTTTGTCCCAAATGCTTGATGTGCTGTATAACTCCATGATTCACAATATCAACAGTCCCTCCTTTATTCAGTTCATTCGCTCCTCTATGTTCACGGAATTTGTTGGTTCACTGGAAGGTAGGTCTTCCAGAAACTCAGACCTATCAGGGGAATGACCCACATGACTGAATGGAGGCTGGTTTGGAAGAGACTGGTGAGTACTGCAGACTGTCAGCTGCAGCGTAGCTAGAAAGGTAGAGATCCCAAAGAGAGCTAGTACTGAGGTCCCATGAGCTCACAGAACCCTCTAGCAGGGTAGGGCTTAAATCCCAACCTCATCTTCTTACCTTAATACAAGAAATCATCAATACTTCAGCACAAAACAAAAAGTTAATCATTAGCTCAGAAAGACATTTTGATAAGGGTCGATCCTGAAAACTATGGCCCTTTAGTCACTTTTTGAGGCTGGAAAATTCACCTCTGGTTCTAGTTTCAGCCAAGCAAGTAGCAACCTGTAAAGTGTACAAGACAACCAGGGAGGGATGCATTCCATAGAACAATCAGCCACACAGTCAAAAGGGTGGTATCTGCCCCAGAATAAGCGGAGGAAAGGAGCTCTGGGGTAGTCTGAAACATGCTAACCCCAGGATGGTGGTTCAAATATACCAGCAGCTCTGAGGAAAAGCAGGTGGTCCTTTCTCCTTTTTTGCTAAAATTTACAAAATTGGAAACACAATGAAGGAAGGGCCAGCTATGAGTCAGTTTTGACTTGATAGAGAGCACACTTTAAAAAATTAAATATCTTTGAGCATTGTCGTTTCATTAACCAAAATTATCTATGCAAGGGAATAAAAGATTTGATGATTGCTATGTGAAAGGCTGGCAGTTCAAACTCACCAAGAAGTTAATTCTGTAGCAATGCTATAGTCAAGTATTAGTGATTCATCAGGAAACTGAACTTCGTAACTAAGAAATTTCATCAAATGTAAAATACAGATGAAAGAAGAGTTCTCATTGCTACAAAAAAAGTTAAAATATTTTCCATTTAATAATTTGTAGGCAAGAATTAGAGAAAACAGACACGCGTTTTTGTTTGATAAGTTATTGACATTTTGAAACAGCTTTAAAATAGCTTCTTTACATCATTGACACATTTTCCTTTATACTATTGTTATGCTCTGATATTATATAAATTCCTAAATATATATATTATGGACACAATTTAGTTTTCATTTGTTTCCTATAATGGGTTCATTATAATTCTATGATCCTCACAGTCCTTAGTTAAGACAGAAAATAAGGAAATTCACACCATCCAACTATGTCACTCAGAGATTCACTAGTTCTGTTGTCTTCAGCCTGTTGTATAATTTTGAATGTTTTACAATAACAAGTCACTTAGTTTTCTGATTTATAAATTAAGAACAGTATCTGAGGGACTTCTGGCAAGAACTTGCTAGTTCACGTAGTCTTAAGCCAAGTTAATAGGCCCTCATTGCCTTTTCCTACATGATCTCTATTCCAGAAAAGCTCTTATAACAGTCCTTATCATTACTGATTGCATGCAGACAAGTGGTATGTTTCTATATTTCATAAAGCTTCGCCGATTCTTTCAAAATGTCAATTCTCGGGCAAAGTTACAAGTTCTCATAGTTTTGTAGGTTGGCCTTCATACCTAGAAGACACTTGAGCTGCTATCTATCTCTGCATACATCTATTGAATTTATCTTCTTTAATGAGACTATTTACTTGATTTATCTCACCTTGTTAGTACTCTGCAAGTTTTCACTCATCAATCAAGTCTCTACTTCTTCAATCTGACCTCTCACCTTTACCCGGAAAGGAGAAGACCTATTGTGCCTTACTGATCTATCTACATTGTTTAAGTTATCTTCACTGGCATACATTGTCAATTCCCATTTTTATAGCATTTTAATACTGTTAATTTTAATAAAAGACTCAGATTTATTCCCCCCTAAGGCTCTCTGACACTCATTACTTACACTTAGTACAGTTACTGTATTTCAATGTTGTTCTTATGAGTTGCTGATCCAATTGCCTCTGACTCATAGCGGCCTCATGGGTACAGAGTAGAATTGCTCCAAAAGGTTTTCCTGTATGGCCTTTCAGAAGCAGATCATGTGGCCTGTCCTCAGAGGTGCCTCTGGGTCGATTAAAGCTGCCAACCTTTCAGGTTGGAAGGCACTCAAATTCTACTGGGGAGAGCTGACTCCTCAAAGCTGAGACAACCTTAATTACTTGGTTAGAGTAAAGCTTTCAAGACCCTCAATGTTAAAAGACCTTCACAATTTCAAAGTAAAAATAGCTGCAAAGATCATGAAAAAATAAACTTATGTTAATGAAGGAATAACTCAAAAGAGTATGATCCATGTTACTGAATTAACTGTCTATGCAGAACTTTTTCTATGTTTTGTGTTCATACAAACTAGAAAAACCTTATTCTCTCAAATCAGAACCAACTGTTGACTGACCCTCTCCTGTGGGTTTTCAGAGGTTGTAAATTGCAACGAAAGAGAATTTCTATATTCCTCCAAGTGGAGCCTCTGGTAAACATAGCCTTTGGCTTAGCAGTGCAACTGCCTATGGATTATAATAGCAGAGCTGAGACACACAGACACAATTATGAACATTAGTGTAAAACCAAATCAAAATTTTAGCCATACAATCTGCAATAGTACCCCTAGTCCATAGAAGTTTATTTACAAAAGGTAAAAACTGGAAGTATCCAAAACAACCTTCAAAAAGTGGATGATTATACTATGGACAAACCATATGGTAAAGTACCACTCCAAAATTAAAAGCAACTCTTTGGAATTTTGCTGCCAACCTAAAGGCTAGCAGTTTGATCCGCCAGCTGTTCCAGTGGGGAAAGATGGGCAATCTCCGCTAGCATGATTTACTGCCTCTGAAAAACCACTGAAGGTCAGCTTTAAGTTGGCTACATGATGGTACATAAAAACAACAACCACATTAACAAAGACTAATTAAGGATGAGTCGTAAGTACATTTTTCTAAGTGGTGAAAAAGACACTGTTTCAAAAAGTTCTATCCTCTGGGTCTATTTAGAACAGTCTCAAATTAAAAAAATGAAAGGAAAAAAATAAGTAATTGCTAGGGGTTATGCATGGTGCTCTCTCAACATGTTTATTTTCCAAAAACCAGGTTCTTATTTGAAAATCAGCATTATGTGAACAACAGTTAACCTCATTAGAATACAAAGTCATATGACAAATTACCTTACATAACTGTTAAGCAAAGCCATCTTTGTCAAATTAAGCTGACTTACAATCTTCACTATCAGATCTAGCAAGTTACTCCTACCCCACATTGTTATTGCCAGATATCCACCACGAATGGACAATACCATAATATATATTTCCCAGTATTATCAGAAATGTGGAATACTGAATAAAACCGTCAACAACTGAAGAGTACATTGCTAATAGAGTAAGCTTCCTTTTCTTGTAAAAATGTGCAATAGCAGAAAATTGAAAAAAGAAATTTAAATTAAACACTGCCAGGTAGGTTTTGACTCATAGCATCCCTCTGCACAACAGAACTAAGCACTGCTCAGTCCTGTATCCTCCGGTTACCATGCCTGAATCCATTGTTACAGGTACGTGCCCAATCCATCCTTTTTCATTGACCTTCTGTTTTGTCAAGTCTGATGTCCTTCTCCAGGAACTGGTTCCTCCTGGTAACATGTCTAATGTAGATGAGACAATGTAGTATCTTCTTTTCAAGGAGTATTCAGGCTTTACTTCTGAGACTTATTCTTGGAATATTATTTTTTTTGCCATCATATAATAAAGTGTAATATCTCAAGATGATTAAATAACTTTCTGTGTTTCTTCAAGGTATTTCAATACCAGTAAAAATACGCAAATATAAAATATTTTATTAGTCTACAATACCAAGAAATATGTAGAAAGTGATCTAACATCTTCCTTTTAACTACCTAAAATCATATGGTTTTGAAGAACATGCCCTTTGACTTCTAACCTTTGCTCTTCTTTAGAATTACCTGGCAGGGAAACAAAAAGATTCATATTTTATTAGTGGCATATATATTGTCTATGTCAAATTAATAAAATTTTCAGTAAAACGTCAGAGTATCTTAACAGGCAAAACTCAATTTAGAACGCCACTAGGGAATACAATGCCTTATAAATGACTTTTTATCACATAATTTAAGTTTCTCAATTAATACAAAACATATCACTGAAGAAAAAAAAAACAAGGGGTGAAAAAAAGAATGAAAGCTCAAACTCCATAGAAGTATTAAAAATCTAGTTTTATTTTCAGTTAGCTGTTGTCCTACCAGGGCTCCTTTAAACTATACAGCAGTGCAAATTCACCGCAACATTAAATTTCTTATATTTTGGCTACAAATAGTAGATCTTTAATTTAGCCATCTAGTACTTTAAGCACAGGCCACAGGTAATTCTAAAAACAAACGCTCCACTTAAAATACACACACACACAAACACATATTCAGCCTTTTACACGTATTGGCTTTAATAGATTACAAATTTGTTGAAATATTTACTTTTGCAAGAGAACAAAAAGACCCTAAAAAGAGCCAGGTCATATTCATGCCTAGACTTTCACAAAAGTGAAGTCAACTCAGTTATCCCATATGGCACACATAACATTACTGGCTTGAATTAAGGAAGCTGGCTGGTAAGTCTTTCTCCTACAGAGCCACTGGGTAGGTTTAAACTGCCAATCTTGAAGTCAGCAATTGGGTTCTTAACCATGATGGGACCAAGGGTCCTTCTGTTCTCAGGATTTTTATATGGGTATTTCAAATAAATTATTACATACTCAAATTTACAGAACGCTCAATTCAACTATGACATTAGCTTTTTTACTAATAATCTTTTATAGTAATGTGAATTGTATTTAAGGAGATACAGTATCACAGTAGCTTTCTGTGGTGGACAATCTATTAACAACTCTTGGAATTAATGCTTTCTGAAACACATTTAAAAAATATTGTCCCAAGCATCATATCCTTATGTAGAAAAATAAGCAATCTTCTGTGTTTATACAAGAAATTGCAACTATAATCAAAGTTGTAACATCAAATATTAGGATCACTTACAATAAGCAAGAACAAAGAATATTTTTATAATTTCAAGGAGATAAACCTGTCCTACTATATTATACATGTTGCGGTTTATGATAGGTGCTGTTGAGCCTGCTCCTACTTATAGTGACACATGTACAATTTGATTCTCTCCAACCTCAGAATTTCTGTTGGGCTTAAATTCATCACTGCAGTCACTGTCATTGCTACTATCAACAGTCTTCTATAATTCTACGAGAGAGCTCTGGTGACTTAGTGTAAGGAGCTGCACTGTCAATGCAAGGCAATATAATTCAAATCCACCAGGTGCTTTGCAGGAGAAAGATGGGCAATCTCCCATGTGATTTACCACCTCTGAAAATATGCTAGAGGGTCAGCTGAGTCACTTCCAAGCGGAGAGTATATTAACAACATAATTCCACTAGTGACGCAGTATGCACGCACTTGTCTGTTACCCTGAGGTTCATGATTTGAACCCATTATACATTCTATAGGGTTAAGGCTGTGTGGCAGTCTGCTTCTATTACAGTCTTGGAAATTATGGGCAGTTTTATTTACCCCTACTACAGGCTCACTTATTATGAGTCTCAATTGACTTGACAACAATCGGTTGAAATAGTGATACTTCTACAGATGAAACAGTAAAAAAATTCTCCCTTTTAGTGATAAATTAATGGCTATTAATCAATCAGAAATCTGCAATATACAAATAGCGGGAAAAATTCATCTCCATTATTAAGAAAAGTCAAGCCTCAAATTATTCCAGAAGAATGAGGAATCTAAGGATGAACCAGGTGATATTGTCAAGTTAATTATTACTTAAGAAAATTCTTGCTCAAGTAAAAACTTCAGTTTTACCTTTGCTGCACGCAGGATATGCTCTCTATTAATTATTCCACACTTATTCTCACAAGCATTTATCCTGGACTCTTCAGCTAATCGATGAAGAAACAGTAAACAGTTCAGATGAATCTTTAAAAGAAAGTTTAAAAGCATTTTTAAATTATAATACAGATGCTATGAAAACTTTTAAAATTAAAAGATCTCAAAATTCACTTAAAATTATAACATTTATTCACTGTAAATATGCTACTTCGTTCTTCTAGTTAACGCTATGCACAACTTAATATAAGTACCTCTGAGATTTCATAAAAAGAAAATGACATGCTGCAATATATGAACCTAAGCTGTAATAAACTGACCAAAGGTATAGGCATAATCTTACCATAAAGAATTAGTACATGCTAAAACTTATGCAGGATTTATTACCAAGAAATATTACTGCTTTATATTTATCATTTTCAGTTTCTTAAAAACCTAAAATTACCTTAACTATTAAGGTTATCATTTCATAATCTGAAGTCTAAGAAGACATTCTAACTGTTGTTATGTGACATCTAGCAGACTACGACTCACAGCGACACAATGAACAACAGATCTGATCCCTGCTCTATCCTATACCATCCTCACCATCCACGAGACACTTGGGCCCACTTTTACAGTCACTCTGCCAATTCATCTTATTAAGGGCCTTCCTCTCCTACGTTGACCCTTCACCTTTCCAAGCAGGATGTCCTTTCTGTAAGGACTGGTCCCTCTTAACAACATGCTCTATGTATGTGCGAGGAGTTTCAATATCCTTGACTCCAAGGAGCACCTGGTTTCCTTTTCTCCAGGACAGACTTTTCTCCTGGTAGTCCAACGTATATCCCATTCTTTTCTCCAACACTACAACTCAAAGTCACTGATTCTTCTTCTGTCGTCCTTAGTCACTGCCCAACTTTCAGATGGATAGCAAGCAACTGAGAAGACAGGCCATGGCTTGAATTAGGTGCACATTAGTCTTTAAGTTTAATACTCTAGATAGAGATTCCAGACAACAGATTTTCCGAAAGCGACACAACATGTGATTTCTTGATTACTGGTACCAAGGGTATTGAATGTGAATCCAAATAAGATGAAACTGTTGACAACTTCAATCTTGTTTCAAGAATATGTTAATTACTGAAATTATAATTTGTTGACTTGAAATGTGTATGTACAAAGGTCTTATTTATATGGCAATTACTGTAAAATAATTTCACTTACCATTAAAAACCTTAAAAAATCTTTTAAAGAAATATGTATAAAACAGTAGAAAATGAGAGTCTTTAGGATTATCATGTGTTAAAAGGAATCTTTGCAACTCTGAGTCTAAATTTATTTCTAAATAAAAATATAAGCAAAAAGTCCACTGGACATTTTAATGATTTAAAAAATATTTTGCATGATCGTTTATTGGTAGCTACATATTCCTTTGTCAAAACCATACAGCTGAACAAGACAAAAAGAAAACCCTAATGTAAACTAGAGATAATAATAATAATAATGTATCAACACAACTTTATCAATTGTAACTAACATACAACAATAAAATTGGGTTTAGTTTATAATGTATTGGGATAATAACACAAAGGCCAGCAGTTCAAATCTATTAGCCCTTTGGAGGAAGAAAGCTGAGCAGTTCTCCTCCATAAATATTTACACCCTTGGAAACCTAACAGACACCTATGACTAAGAAGTGACTTGAAGGCAGTGTGTTTTCTGAGTTTAATATGAGGCAAAATTATGTACAGGGAAAAGAGGAGAATATAGGAAATCTCTGTACTTTCTACACAATTTTTTTTCCTGCAAATCTAAAATGGCTCTAACCAATACATTTTTTTTCTTTAACATTTTACAAAGAAGTGGTGGCACTGTTGTGTCACAGGGTTGATTTCAATTCATAATGTGACAGAGGAGAACTGCCCAATAGTGTTTCCTGGATATGATCTTCACAAGAGCAAGTTCAGTTATTTTTTCCCATTGAGGGGAAAACTGATATTTTATACTGCCACTTTTCGGTTAGCAATAAAGCATTTAACTAATCCATTATTAGGGCTGCTAGGTTTAGAACATGGCACTAGGAACATAATAGCCTATGTTAGATGGATCTTACCTGAAAGCAGAGAGTACCAGGGGGATGTCTAGCTGTGTTTCACTGACTAAGTGAAAGGTATTTGACTGTGTGGATCACAGCAAACTGTGGCTAACTCTGAGAAGAACGGGAAACCCAAAAAATTTCACTGTGCTCATGTCAAACCTATACTTGAACCAAGAAGTAGTCATCAGAGGAGAGCAAAGAACAACTATATGGCTTAAAATTAGGAAAAGTATACTTCACGGACATATCGGGAGCCTGGACTTTATGAGGAAGAATGTGGCATCACACTGGAGTACTGGAGAAAGACTCATCAACAATCTATATTATGCAGATGAGATGACACAATCTTGCTTGCTGAAACTGAAAAGGACATAAGGCATTTCCTGCAGAAGGACAAGGACTGTATTATTCTATATGGATTAAAGCTTGGCATCAAGAAAATATTCTCATCACTGGGCCAATTGTCAGCATAATGATAAAGAGAAGAGATTGATATTGTTAACTTCAGCTTGCTTGGTTCCACAATCAACAGTCTTGGAACAGTCAGGAAAGCAAAAGATGAATTGCATTAAAAAAAATATGCTGTCAGGGACCTCCCCAGAGTGCCGAAGAGCAACGATGTCAGTCTAGAGACTAAGGCACACCTGATCCAGGCCACGGTCATTGCAATTACTTGCTATACATCAGAGAGCTGGACAGTGAGTAATGGAGACAGAAGAATGGATGGTTTTTGAGTAGTGGTACTGGAGAAGAGTATTGAACATACCATAGACTTCCAAAAGAACAAACAGGTCTATGCTGGAAGAGGGTGAAAACAAGCTGCTCCTCAAAGGTAAGGATTTTGAAGCTCTGTCTCTTGTACTTTGTGCATATTGCCAGGAGGGACCAGTTCTTAGTGAAGGGCATTATGGTTGGAAGGGTGGAGGCACAGCAAAGGAGAGAAAGATCCTGGATGACATGGACTGACTCAGTGACAGGGTAATGAGGTACATGTGTTGGAGACAATTTAGAATGACTTAAGACAGGGAAGGGTTCAGAGCTATTATATATAGTTGCTATGAGTCGCAGGGGACATGATGGCACATAACATGAACAAACAACAAAAAGTTAAAACATCAAAAATAAGACTTTCTTTCTAATCATCCATTAGTCATTCACACTGGTTCCAGGTTGTTTGTGTGTGTGTGTGTGTGTGTGTGTGTGTGTGTATATATTTAGGTTTTTGTATATTCTTATAGACGCAAGCTCTACACAAAAGCAAGATTTCTCATTTTCTATCTTTACTAGCGGAATGTAAACAGTAAATCAGTGAAATATTTTACTGAAAACTCACTATGGAAATGGAAAAATTATTATACAATCTATATTCATCTGTCTGTGAAAATAATTAAGGTAAACAATACAATCAGCAATGAATGCAAGGTGAACTATAGTCCTATTTCAATTTTCCCTTTACAAATTTTGTACTCCTTGATTTAAATTACTCTTAACCTCTTTTCCATTCTTTTTAAGACAGTTCTTACTTCTATGCTCCCATGATCAGCTGTCTGACAGCATTCAGATTCAATTAGATACATCATAGTATTCCATATTCTTTGTAGAAGTTAACACTAAGTATCTTTGTACAGTTTGCTTTTTAAATTTAATATGAAAATTAGTTTATGAGAACCAAAATGTGACCACGAGTTCATCACAAAAGAATTTTAAAACTATTTAAAAATAGATAGGCGGCACTGAAAACTAAACCACTTTTCAGATGACATCAAAGACATCTTCCGTGAAAAATGCAAAAAAGATCAAATAGATGTCAGAAGAGACTCTGAAACTTGTACTGGAACCAGAAGAGCTCCAAGAGGGGCAAGAAAAGCTGAGGTGAAAGAGCTGACAGAAGATTTTCAAGTGTGACTCAAGAACACAAAGTATTATAATGAAATGTGCAAAGAGCTACAGTTAGAAAAGGGAAGACTATGCTTGGCATTTCTCAAGCTGAGAGAACTGACAAAGAAATTCAAGTCATGAGTTACAACAATGAACTACTGGATGGGGAAAATACTCAATGATGTAGGAACTAACAAAAGAAGATGAAAAGAATACATAGTGTCAATTTACCAAAAAGAACTGGTCAACATTGCAACATTTCAGGAAGTAGCATATGATCAAGAATTGATTATCAAAGATGACATCCAAGCTGCACTAAAGGCATTGGCAAAAATAAGGCTCCAGGAATTGATGTATATCAAATGAGGTGCTTCAGGAAACAGATGCAGCCCTGGACATGCTCTTCAGTCTATGCCAAAAAATATGGGAGAGCTACCTGACCAAATGACTAGAAGAAATCCATATTTGCTCCCATTCCCCAGAACGGTGGGTCAAACAATGTGGAAATTCTCAAACAAAATCCTTAATATCCCAAGCAAGTAAAATCTTGCTCAAGACTATTCAAAAACAGCTGGAATACGCTGTAGCATGAAGGATATCAATGCTGATGTTTGAAGGTCTTGACACAAGGTTGAAAATATTAAAAATAAAAAAAAGACACTTGTGTTAGACTGAGTATCCAGAGCCTTTTGGCTGTATGGGTGATGACAAATTATGAACACTGAGCAGAATGGGAATTCTAAAAGACTTAATTATTATTATGTAAAACCTATTCACTGACCAAGAAATAGTTGTCTGAAGAGATCAAAGAAACACTGTATAATTTAAAAGTAGGAAAAAATATGCATCAGGATTATATCCTCTCTCCACATGTATTCAATCTATATGCTGGAAAATCATTAGAGTAGCTGGAGTATACAAAGAAGAATGTGGCACTAGAATCAGAGAATCAACAACCTTGTATTATGCAGACGACACACTATTGCTTGCAGAAGTGAAGAGGATTTAAAACATTTGCAGCAAATGATTAAAGGCAACAGCTTCCAATATGGACTACATACTGCAGTGTTAGGACTTTTGAAAATGGCTTTTGTGTCCCTTATTTTAGTCCCCTCTCGGGATATAGTCTCCAGCTGCCTCAACTGCAGACACATGGTTCACCTATTGATATTCAACATCATCATCAGCTGTGAAGACATTATAAGAGAAAGCTAACCAGTCAAGAAATTATGGTGAGTCCTGATGGGAGTCCTGGAGCCAAAGTTTAAGGTTCTGCTTAATAGATAGGTAAGTGAAGGAAGAGCTAACTTGTGGCTGCTATGAGGTAAAGCTTGCAGGTCGACTGAGGAAACCAGATGCTTCTTGTATTTGTTTTGCGGGACCAAATCTGGACTTATAATTGTCGACTTGAGAACTAAAGAAGGGTTTGGGATTAAGGATTTTTTCTTAATCTGATTTGGGACTGCTTGATTAAACAAGGACTTTCACAGTGACATCCTACCCCCTTCCACCAACCTAGTTCCCTAATAAAGCCCACAAGTGTGAGTAAAGTCAAGTCAGTGAGTCAACTTGCAATTGAATCAGACTTACTAATTAGCAGAAATGAGTGCAAGAGTATAGGGACCATGTCTGCCCTTGTCTCTATTTGTTTGGGACCAGAGATGTTAATAACTGGGATAGTTCTCTGCTGTGAAGTAGGTGGAGATTGAACTTTGATGACCGGTGGGTTCAAATTGCTGACTTTTGATTGGTAGCCCACTGTTTAAACAGATCAACCTCAGACAAACAAAATTCTTTTATGATATTTTGTGAATGCTTTTAGTCTACATGATCTTTCCATCTGCATGAGACATGAATCATGAGAAAAATTTGTATTAATATTTTAGATATCCTAAATTATTTTTTAAGTAACCTTGCTTGCTGAAACTGAGGAGGACCTGTAGTGCTTGCTGCAGAGTGTCAAGGTCTGCACTTTTCATTTGGATTGAAGCTCAATATTAAGAAAAGAAAGATTCTCACCACTGGGCTGACTGGCAGTATCACGAAGGATGGTGACGAGATTGAGACTAATCAGCTTTAGTTTGCTTGGCTCAAAAAGCAACACTACTGGCACCAGCAACCAGAAAATTAAAGACGTATTGTATTGTGTTGGGGAAACATGCTGTTTTAGGCTTCCCCAAAGTACTGAAGAGCAATGATGTTACTGGGGAGACTAAGGTGTGCCCAATACAGGCCATGCTCTTTGCAATCATTTGCTATGCATCAGAGAGCTGGACAGTGACTAGGGATGACAGAAGAATTGATGCCTTTGAGCTGTGGTGTTGGAGAAGAGTATTAATATACCATGGACTGCTAGGAGAACAAACAGGTTTGTCCTAGAGAGTAAAATCAGGCTACTCCTTGGAGACAAAGATTATGAAGCTTCATCTGACATACTTTGGACATGTTGCAAGGAGTGACCAGTCCTTGCAGAGGGTCGTCATACTTGGGAGAATGGAGGGACAGTGCAGGAGAGGAAGACCCTCGATGAGATGGATTCAGTGACTGGGGTTAGGAGGGTAGGTGTGTCAGAGACAATAAGACTGGCACAAAAAAGAGCAGGGTTTAGGGCTGCTGACATAGGGTCACTTTGAGTCGCAGGCAACTTGACGCACATAACAACAAATAACATTCAGAAAAATAGAGAAAGATACTGTCAATTAGACAGACTAACAGTGACTGTATCAACGGCCTTGAGTATGTAAGAGATTGTGAAGATGGCACAGGATATGGTAAGGTTCAGATCATTAGAGTCAACTCAGGGACAACTAACAAGAGTTAACCTAACAATGACAACATTCATATGATGGCACTCAACTGCTGTCATTCAAAGGTACTGTTGTTGTTGTTAGTGCTTCCAGTCACATGAAGTTCCAGTATGACTCAGTGACCTGATGAACAACAGATCTGAACCCTGTTCTATCACCCATGAAGGTATTAGCTAGCTATTCAAATGGGAAAATGATACTAGTATATAAAGGATTTACATTGAAGGAATTAAGGGTAGAAATCAGTTTGCTTGAAAAGTAAGTAAAAATAAATTTACACGACATCTCTTGTTAATCTAAATTGGCCAAAAGATTGTGCCAATATAACTTCCCTTCTTTGGCAAAAGACTTTAAAATTTCACATAAAACTTATACAGATATTTGCATAGTGTTTCTTTGTGATAAGTCTAAAAGCTAATTCAGCAAATAATTGGAACAACTTTAGATTTCAGCTGTAATAAGGAATTTAACAGCAAATATACAATCAAAGCATGAAACAAAAAGTGGTGACTCATAAAACAGCATAAAATAAACGATGCATTACATGTAAGAAAGTGCATCAATCCACATGTAATTAACATAGATTTCCAGCATTAACTGCGTACTGGGTATTATACTCAATACTAGGCATACCTAAAGTTTCCAATTCAAAGTTCCTAGTCTACTGGGTGAATCAAATATATATAAGAAAATTATAAACAAAAGTGTAACAACTAATCCTTTCTAAAGTAAGCTTCATTGAGAAAGCATTAATTTAAAGTTTTCAGTCAAAATAAACATCACGAACAAAATACAGCATAAAAGTAGCTTAGTTTTGTTCTAAAGAAGATAGAAAAGGAGTAAATGGTATACTATATACCACACTGAACACAACTTAATAAAGTCCAAGAAAAGTATTAGAGTGCCCATAACTAAACTGTAGATGTACACTACTACCACTGAAGAGTTATAAAAAATAAGGTGACTTATAACAACAACAACAACAAAAAAAAAAAAGACTGCCTTAATTATAGAAAGCTTAAAGGATGATGTGTAACATCTAAGATTCTGAAGTATTAACGTAAAACCATTTTAAAAGAAACCAACCCACCTCACAATGGTCAAATATATTTCGATTCACAGTGATCCTCCATCAGGTTTCTGAGGCTATATACACAGATGCAGGTGAATTTGAACCCATAGGAACAGCCTTTGGGTTAGAGGTTCCACTTGCTACAAATGCCACCAGAGAGACCCAAGAAGGAAAGAAAATGTAGAAAAGAAAACCCACCCAAGGGTAGATAACTGACATAAAAGACAATGATAAAAAACTAAAGCCCAGAAGGCAATCATAGCACCTGGGTATAGGTGGCCAAAAGGACTTTTGTTTCTTCGAGCACAGCATCTCATGGCTCCATGAAGCCCACCTGGTCATGTTCTCCTTTAGGGGTTGACAAGGAGAAAGGTCTGCTTTCCATAAATCTGTTTCTACCCACACACAGAGAGTCACTATGAATCCAGGGCTGATATTTCATGAAAACTGGCAGAGAAAAGAATGGAAAACCACCACCACCTCCAAAAGGCATACCTCAGGAATGGCTGGAATCACACGTTCACAGGACATTCTCCACATAACATCTACAAACTCATAGCTTTATCTCCTGTACCATCTGCCTCCTATAGTGTAAATGCAGGAACATACACCCCATTCAGCTAGGGGGTTATGAGGTCTAAGCATTCAACTTACAAATTTTTTTATTTCAAGGCAGAAAGATTATCACATAGTGGTTTGGTTAAGTGCATTTTTTGTGCTTCTTGGTGTTGGGTTTTTGTTTTGTTTTGTTTTGCTTTGCTTTGCGAAGGACTATGCTTCAGGCACCTAACAATTCTTTACGGTTTTTAGATAATCCTTCCATTTCACCTGTCTCTCATTTCCAAGACCACCTGTCTCGGGGTTGGTTAAAGTAAAGAAGCGAGAGGAGAGGGAAGCAGAAAAGTGCTTAAAAAGCATGATGTCAGTAATGCCTTTTACAACAGTTAAATAAAAATGACCCAACCGGAAGGCTCAAATCTGGTTTTATAAGAGTGGATGTTTCACACCCTTCGCAAATACACTACGCACAGTAGGGAACTCTGTTCTCCATTAGTGTTATTTAAATTCTGTAAGCAGCCACTTAGTTCTCTCAAGCTGGTGTGCCTCCTTCCTCCCCAGAGGTCCAGACATCTGCCTTTCATCTGTTTCTCGAGCAACTAAGGCAGATACACTGACAGCCCGACCTGAGCAATCTACCTAGCCAGTGCCAGAAATGTGGGACTGAATCAAGGGCTATGCCCTGGTTAGAGACGGCGGGGAAAAGGCCAGGTTCCTTTCCCCAGCCTTCAGCGGCCCCACCTCCAGCCCGACGAGCGCCTGCAACTCACCAATAAGTCGCCATTTTTCTCCAGACGAAGGTCAGGCTTCTGTAGCTTCACAACGCGTTTTAGAAAACCTCGGGGGGCCTTTCGCTTTACCTTCTTCTTCTGGGGGATGGTGGTCGAGGATGGCATTTTCCCCCTCGGGTAGGAGCTGAGTTTCACCCGTACACTCTCCAGCCAGCCGTGAATACGAGAGGCGGAAAGAGGTCCCACCCTTTCCGTGCGGGCGCCGAAAAGTCCGCTCCGAGCTTTTGAATCCACCGCCAACCGAAGGCGCCGGCGCCCTGCAGTGACGTCAACGCGACGCTAAGCCCGAGCCCGGAGACTCCTGGAAATGGGCCCTCTGCGACGCCGTCCACAGGTGGTGCTTGGTGGGCTTCACGGCCCCGCTCATACTCTGAGAGCTGACACTCAAGCAGGCTTTCAGATTCATGGCCTAGTGGTGAGAAAGCTGTGCTGCAATAGCAAAGGCCCGCAGTTTGACTCCCCCTCTCTTCCAGGGGAGAAGGTTGCGCAGTCTTCCCCCTTGTGATTCACAGCGTCTGAATCCCCACCTGAGAACACTTTACCAACAAATCACCGGAGAATAGATATAGCCATCCTTTCTCCCGCTGGGTGGATTCAAACCTCCTGTCTTTGAGTTGGCAGCACAGCCCCTTACCAGACCACCAGAGAAGTGTGAGGTGGTTTTGAGTATAACTCAGACATAGAGCTCTGTTGGTCTAATGGATAGAAAGTGATGCTACCAAGCCAAAGATGGGTGATTTGGTGATTAAAATCTGCGGCCCTCAGATCTGATTTTAATGGTTTTGGGTCAAGCATTCTTCTAAGCGGTATAATCACTGGTCTGTCCATTTGCTGTACAGAGGTAACTCGTGGTTGCTGTCACGCTGAATACTGACACTGATGTGTCAAATGAGATAATGGTTACCCATGGTGAACAGTGTTTGGTGGAGCTTCCTGATTAAAACAAGCTTGGAAGCAGGGGTGGCATCCACTTTCGAAATAGCTTGCCCCCAGAAACCGTGTAAACGTGGAGAAACGATGAAAGTTATACAAGTGTTCAGGTCTTTTAGTTTATAGGGTTGCTATGAGTCGTCTACAACTCGAAGGCCCTTAACAACAGCAACATTACTCATAGAGATCTGATGAACAGCAGATTTGAACCCTGTCCTGTCCTATGCCATCTTCGTTAACATGCCTGAGACCACTGTTGTTGTCACTGTGTCAATCCATCTAGTTGAGATTCTTCCTTTCTCCGACCCTCCACCTCTCTAAGCATGATGTCCCTCTCCAAGAAATAGCCTATCTTAGTAATATGTCCAAAGTATGTGAGATGAATCCTTATCATCTTTGCCTCCAAAGAGCACTCTGACTGCACCTTCTCCAAGACATGTTTGTGTGTTCTTTTGGCCTTCCATGGGATGTTCAGGACTCTTATCCAGCACCAAAGCAATTCTTGTATCATCTTTAGTCATTGCCCAACTCTTACATACATAACAAGTGACTGAAAAATAACATGACCTGAATCGGGTACACCTTAGTACTCAAACCGACATCATTGTTGTTCAATAATTTGGAGAGCCCTCTGACTGCTTACTTTCCCACTTCAGTAAATCTACTGATCTCCTGACTACTGGTATCAAGTGTATTGATTGTGGGTCGAAGTAAGATGAAGTAATTGACAGTTTAAATATTTCTCCATCTATTCACTACTGGGCCAATTGGCAGCATCATGATAGATGGTGAAGAGATTGAGGTTGTTAATAGCTTTAATTTGCTTGGCTCCACAATCAACATTCTTAGCACCAGCACCGAGGAAATTAAAAGATGTATTGCGATGGGAAAGTCTGCTGTCAGAGACCTCTCCAAAGTACTGAAGAGAAATGATGTCACTCTGGAGATTAAGGTGTGCCTGATACAGGCCATGGTCTTTGCAATCACTTGCTATGCATCAGAGAGCTGGACAATGACTAGGGATGATAGGAGAATTGATGCCTTTGAGCTGTGGTGTTGGAGAAAAGGATTGAATATATTATGGACTGCTAAGAAAATGAATAAGTTCATTTTAGAGAGGGTGAAACTAGGCTACTCCTTGGAGGCAAGGATTCTGAAGCTTCATCTGACATACTTTGGACATGTTGCAAGGAGGGACCAGTACTTGGAGAGGGTTATGCTTGGGAGGGTGGAGGGACAGTGCAGGAGGGGAAGACCCTGGATGAGATGGATTGACTCAGTGATGGGGGTAATGGGAGTGGGTGTATCAGAAGACAATAATGTTGATACTGGATAGAGTAGGGTTCAGAGCTGTTGTACATAGGGTTGCTATGAGTCTCAGGCAACTTGGAGGCACATAATAACAACAAAATCATGATGTTACCTTTTGGTCTAGTGGGGAGAATTTTTCTTTTCTTGACATTGAGATGCAATCCATAATGAAGGTCACACTCCTTGATCTTCTGTGCAAGTGCTTCAAGTCCTCCTCCCTTTAGCAAGCAAGGTTATATCATCTGCATAGTGAAGGTTAGTTGACGAGTCTTCCTCAAATTCTCATGCCATAATTATTCTTCATAGAGTACAACTTCCCGTATAATTAAATATGGAGGCTTCCTTTGACAACTGTCTGATGTTTTGAGTCTATGGTGCTATTTCTACTATCATTTCTAAAAATGTTAGGGGCATCTGGAGACCTACTGGTAAGGGGTTGTGCTGCTGACCCAAAATCTTTTGCTTAGAATCCACCAGCTGCTCCACAGGAGAAAAAAAAGAAGAGGGGGGAAGGATAATCTCTTCTCTAGCTATTTAAAGATTTGAAAACTGCTTACAGGATCAGCTAACTATGAATGAGATCCTAGTCCGCAGTACATGACAAGAATAATAAATAAAGAAATGTTAAGAAATTGTAAAGATTAGGTAGCTCTGGTGGCCTAGTGGCAAGAATCTGCACTTGCAGATTCTGATCCTGAAGGCAAATGGTTCGAATCCACCAGATCTTCCACTGGAGAAGGAGGGGCAATCTCCTCCTATACCAGTCAGATACTCTCACTCTGGATTGTGTCTAATATTAAATGCTAAGGAAACAATTCACTTATGATTTGATTCTGCAAACCAATGAACAACATATTCTAACCTTGCCTTGTCTTGTGACACTATCAGGATCTCAGATATGCTACAGCCCATTGTTATGGTCACTATGTAAATCTATCATTCTGTGGGCCCTTTGCTCTTTTTTTGAACTCTACTTTTCCCAGATAGATGTCTTTTCCAAGAATTGGCCCCTCCTAACAACATGTCCAAAGTGGTTAAGGCCAAATTTCACCCTTTCTTCAAAGGAGACCCTTGATTGAACTTCCTCTAAGATGGACTTGTTTCTTGTTTTGTAAGTCCATGAGATAGTCAGTATTCTTCTTCAGCACCACAATCCAAAAGTATCAATTATTCTTTTGTCATCATTATTCATTATCAAACTTTCAGATGCATAGGAAACAACTGGAAAAATCATGCCTGGATCAGGCACATTTTGGACTTTTTTTCCTTTTTTTTTTATTATTTTTGTGTCAGTGTACTGTCAAATCAGATCTGACTGGTACAGGAGGAGATTGTCCCTCCTTCCCTGGCAGAGCATCTGGTGGATTCGAACAGTGCGCCTCTGGGATTGTAGTTGCAGCTCCTTGCCACTAGGCCACCACTAGAGCTCCCCACATTTTGGACTTTTAACTGTCATCCTTGCTTTTAAGCATGTTGAATCTTTGATAGCAGATTTCAGTAATGCAAAAACATCTTTTTATTTCTTGACTACTGCTATAATGAGTGTAGATTGTAGATTCAAGTAAACAATGATATTTATTGTGGATTCATTCATTCATTCATTTTCTGCAAGCAAGGTTGTGTCATCTGCCTAAAAAAGGTTGTTAATGAGTGTAAAAACAGCCAGGGCCACATGGGGAATGCTATATCTCACCTTTACTAACTTCACAGGAGGAAACTATCCCTGCCCATGTATCAATAATGCGAAACCAGTTACTCTGAGGTCAGACATGTACCCCACCTGCCCATGACTCTTAATACTCATCTTAACCCTAATCTTACTGTTTGACAGACCACACAGAAACATATTGGGAGAGTCAAAAGGTTATACTTCAGATTACTAACAAAATACAGTCAAGACAGCTCCCAAAATGTGCACTCAGGCACTTCAACCTCAAGCCTTGTGCTGCTAAGTGTTCCTAAGTCTTGCCAATATTGGCTTTTCCTGTTATTGTCCAACAAAGTTCTCCTTTGCTGTCAAACAAAACTGTCCAACAGCTGTCCTGCCAATATTGGCTGCTCCACCCCAAAATCTTATCTCACATACAATTCTCCTGTTCGACCATGGCTATAGCTGCCAGTTTGAATTGTGTCCTACATTTCAACAGGCTGGGGAAAGCCTCTTCCTGGTGTGAGAATTCCTTCTAGGTGCAAGAATTCCTCTTCTCTGCAATTAGAGCCATTCAACTTATTGGAGAGACTAGGTAATCCTCTTATAGATAGTTGAGACTAACTAACCCCCTTGTGGAATGGTAGATAGCCAATCCCTTTGTGGACAGGCCAATCCACCTCGCTCACACAGTCCTGCCCCTCCACATAGTCTGTCATCTGAGAGACAAACTCCACAATGAGTCTTCTTCCAATCCTGATGCCCCATTCATCTTCATATAGTCCAAGTTCTTGAATAATTTGCTCCATATATACTAAAGAATATAAAATGTGGATTACATTCAATTGTGGATTGCCTTCAATGTGGATTATATCTCAACATCAAGAAAGCAAATTACTCTAGGAACCGCTAGGCTAATATGCAACATCATAATCCTGGAGGAAAGATAGTTAACTTCATCCTACTTAAATCCACAATCAGCACCACTGGTACCAGCAATTAAGAAATCAAAAGATGTGTTATATTCCAAAAATCTGCAATGAAAGACTTGTCCAAAGTGCTAAAGAACAATGATGTCTGTTTAAAAACTAAGGTACACCTGGTCCATTCCAAACCATGGTCTTTCAGTCACTTCTTATGCATCTGAAAATTGTCTAATCAATAAGATAATGGAAAATTATCTATGCTTTTGAGTTGGTGTGTTGGAGAATAGTTG